CCAGGGTGCACTGCGACGCGTTTCGGAGCATGCACTGGCCGTGGAAGGCAGAAGTGCGCTCCTTTTTCAAGCAGGGGGAGGTGGATGAACAGGGGTGAATATATAGGGAAAGTCCCCTATGTAGCCTCAACGTTCCCCCATTATGATAAATGTGCCCCCCCCCCCTTTTGTTGATGGTCAGTGGGGAACGGGGTAACCTACTTAGGATTGTCAGCTGAAGCAGGAGGATAGGGATTATTAAATGACTTTTGTTTTACATCTGTGGTGGCCTATTACAGTCATCACAAGACACAGAGCCACTCTGATTGGCTGTGTGCATTTTTCCAGTGATTTGCACCAATGACATCTCATTGGAGGTAGGCGTGTGCACAAGCTGTTTATAAACGATGCTCCATAAACAAAATAAACACAAACTCACCGTTTTTGTTTTTTTTTCCCCCAGTATGGCGCTAGTTAGGTGGTTAATATAAATTGAGTCAACTTTCCGAATTCACAGGTGGTGGAGGGCTCTGTACACCCTACAACAGGGATCCTCACCCCATAAACTCCTGCATCAGTATAAGCTGGTGAAATGGGGAGGGGACATGAATTTATTATTTGCATTAGTAAAAACCAGTTGCGTGATCTACTCTACCACACTCAGTTGAGGGAATTTCCTGTTATTTGCTCATCACTAATAATGGAATAACGGTCCATAGACTTTATCACTGAAGCACCCATAAAGGATCTGAGCCATTCAACCAGCTGGCCTTCACCTAATGCCGAAATATCAGTTTTTGGTATTTTCTTCCCGTAATACACACATACACACGCAAATACAAAGTGAAAATTAAAACCTACAGTCTGGTCTGCAATACTATGTGTTTCTAGAAATTGGGCCCTCTTGTCCGTCATGCGGTTTTGTGTCTATTTGGCTCTTTCATCCCGAAATCTTCTCCAACCACAACACGCTCTGGTCCGTCCTCTCCCTCTCCTCCCCCAGGGTTCCAATAATTGTTTCCAAATCACTCGCCGGCCCGGCTTTTATCTCCTAGACAGGCCCGTCGATCTCTTTGACCGCAGCAGCAGGCATCCCCGATACGGTCTTGGCATCCGGGATAAAATGTATTTGGGGAGGCAGCCTGCCAGACAAACGGCTTATTTTAATATCTTTGTGGTTGCCATCAGAAAATAAATGGAGGAATGGTAAGTAAGAGGCTTGGGAGGGGACAAGGCAAAAACAGGCGAATCTCCCCAAGAAGATCAAAAACAGCCCGTCCCCCCCCCTGGGGGTGCCGAGTGTTTATCCCACCGCCAAGAGTTTGGGTTTCATCTGTACTTGAAGATTGTCGGATAACTCTGAAGTTTACAGAAATACAAAACAAGGTCTTAGTTCGTTAGGCAGGACTGGAATTTGGACAGTTCAAGTGAGACATTAAAATACCAAACGGAACAACGAATGTTTTTAGCAGTTTCAAGCTTGAAAACCATTTTTTTCTTGTAATGTGTGTTTTTAAAATGAAAAGTACAAACATTGACATCCTAAAATAGGCAACTAACACTGACGTACAAAGCCGTCCACCATACTGCCCCAAACTACATCACTGACCTAATATCCAAGTACCGCCCAACACGCACACTCCGCTCCTCACAAGACCTCCTTCTCTCTAGTTCCCTGGTCTCCTCCTCCCATGCCCGCCTCCAGGACTTCTTCAGGGTGTCACCCATCCTCTGGAACTCCCTACCCCAACCCATCAGATTATCACCTACTCTCCTCTCCTTTAGGCACACCCTGAAAACCCATCTCTTCAGGGAAGCCTACCCCCACCCCCTGCTAACCTGCCGACCTCCTCCACTCTTCCTACCACCCCATCCCCCACAGCTATCTCCTCCTGTACCACCATCCCCTCCCTCCTAGATTGTAAGCTCGAAAGAGCAGGGCCCTCGATCCCCTCATGTTTTGCATTGTATTGGTATTGTTCTGTCACATGTTCTGTCCCCCTTTGTAATGTACAGCGCTGAGCGAACTATTGGCGCTTTATAAATACTGTATAATAATAATAATAATAATGACTACATACCGACCCCTCGGGACAAAAACCCCTTCCCCAATCCCTTAGCACCGCGTCCCTTTACCGACTCCCTCACCTAATGGATATGTAAAACCTTGATTTTTTTTCTCTGTATATTTTGCTAGGACACACATATTTGAAAGTATTTTGACAAAAAAATACAATAAATACCTTTTTTCAGTAATTCATCTAGTGTTCATAATTACAAACACCCGCCGTTACATGACCACACACCTAATATTGAGAAGGTCCCTTTTTGCCTCCATAATAGTCCTGACCCATCAAGGCGTGGACTCCACTAGACCTCTGAAGGTATGCTGTGGTATCTGGCACCAAGCCCTCAGTAGCAGATCATTGCCTCCACCGGCTTGCTTTCCTCCCATGCTGCCTCCCGGTGCAATCTCTTCCGCACACACCCGACCACCCACATGATGTAGAAGAAAATGTGATCCATCAGACCAAGCCACCTTCTTCCATTGCTCCGTGGTCCAGTTCTGATGCTAACATGCCCATCGCAGTGGACACGGGCCAGCATAGGCTCCCTGACCGGTCTGCGGCTACACCACTCCATACACGGCAAACTGTGATGCTCTGTGTGCTCCGACACCTTTCTATCAGAATCAACATTCACTTTTTCAGCAATCTGAGCTCCAGTAGATCTTTTATTGGATCGGACTATACAGATCGGCCCTCACTCCTAAGGTGCATCAATGATCCTTGGCCCCATGACCCTGTCACCGGTTGGCCGGTTTTCCATCCTTGGATCACTTTTGGTCAGTCCTGACCCTCTGCATACCGGGATCATCCCACAAGAGCTACAGATTTTGGAGTTGTTTACAGAATCATTGTTGCACCTTCTATGTCTATGGCCTGGCCTGAGAGGAGTCACTTTGTTGAAGCTGGCCGGCTTGAACATTTATTGCAATGTAAATGAACCAAGAATACCTGTTTTTAGGCAAAAGTTTGAACAATGCAATACACCCTTCCATGTTTCTAGCAGAGGGTTAATTCAGAATATTTGGCGCTGAACTGGGCAGGAGGAGACAGCTGAGCTGCTGAGTCACTGCTGGGAGTGGGAGCAAGGGAACTGAGCTGCTGAGTCACCGCTGGGAGTGGGAGCAGGGGGAACTGAGCTGCTGAGTCACCGCTGGGAGTGGGAGCAGGGGGAACTGAGCTGCTGAGTCACTGCTGGGAGTGGAGCAGGGGGAACTGAGCTGCTGAGTCACTGCTGGGAGTGGGATCAGGAGGAACTGAGCTGGTGAGTCACCGCTGGGAGTGGGAGAAGGGGGAAATGAGCTGCTGAGTCACTGCTGGGAGTGGGAGCAGGGGGAACTGAGCTGCTGAGTCACTGCTGGGAGTGGGATCAGGAGGAACTGAGCTGGTGAGTCACCGCTGGGAGTGGAAGAAGGGGGAACTGAGCTGCTGATTCACCGCTGGGAGTGGGAGCAGGCGGAACTGAGCTGCTGAGTCACTGCTGGGAGTGGGAACAGGGGGAACTGAGCTGCTGAGTCACCGCTGGGAGTGGGAGCAGGGGGAACTGAGCTGCTGAGAGTAACTTGAACAGTTTAGTGCATCTACTTAAAACACTGAGGATATGTTGCTCCATAGCCAGGCCTCACTTTTTACTTTTTCTTTTTTCTCAGTGATATATGTTTGCTTGACAGCAGGCACGACATGCCCCCAGAACCTGAAAACCCCAGCTCCCTGTGGAGCAGTGACAATTTGGTGGCCTGGTCATGCATTTTGACACAACCCCCACATGCCGCAATGCAAAGCACCTGTCTCCCCATCTGTCTGCCACCTGCGGAGAGGTGTATGCTTTGCCTTGAAGAACTTGGGGGATGGAAGTATGCCGGAGTGTTCAGCTCAGCCTCCAGAATCCAGATCAACATGCTGGATGTGGGACCCATGGGGCCCCCTAGTAGGAGCTGTGTAGAGGAATGGGGTGACCTCCAGGTAATCTATCTATCCTATCTAATCACCACATTGTATAGAATAGATGTCATACAAGCATAGAACTTTCCCATATGTTTTGTAAATGATCTATCTATCTATCTATCTATCTATCTATCTACCTACCTACCTACCTACCTACCTACCTACCTATCTATCTATCTATCTATCTATCTATCTATCTATCTATCTATCTATCTATCTATCTATCTATCTATCTATCTATCTACCTACCTCCTATCTATCTATCTATCTATCTATCTATCTATCTATCTATCTATCTATCTATCTATCTATCTATCCTGTTATCTCTCTCTCTCTCATCTATCTATCTCCATATTGTATAGAGTAGATGTCATGCAGACATAGAACGTTCCCATATTTTGGGGAGATTCAAATCCCTTGGAAAGTAAAACATCTCCCATATGGTGTGTGTAATTGCATTTGTGTATTTAGCTGTTTGCTAGGAGTTCAAAGGGCCCATTTACACTAGGAACTGTGCGTTTATTGCGCTTTGTTACATGCACAGTAATGTGCATTTTGATGTGTGGTTTTTTTTTACACGCATTTGCATGCATTTTCCCCTAAGCTTGCATTTCCTTTGTGGTCATTTCCTTCTTCTTTGGGCTTTTATGTTCACTGCAAGGTGTTGTGGTGCGGTTTCATGCACTTACATGCATTTGCGCATGTTTCACTGCACTGCAATTGTGTGACCTATAGCCATAAGATAACCTGGATTTTGGACTGTCTATGCAGTTGGAGTGCAGCCATAAAGTGCATCGCACTGGATCTGGTGTGAATAGGACCTAAGGCTAGTTTGCGTTTGATCCGTTTCTGCAGTGCATTTTGCGTTTTTTGCACATGCGGTTTTGATGCATTTTGCTTTTTTTTTTTTCAACTTGTTGCTGCGCAGTGAGAAGAATTCCCCTTACATTGGGGAGTCAGTGGGAAGATTGACACTTACCTTGGTTGTCAGTGGAAGAATGCTCCTTACATTGGTGGTCAGTGGGAAGAATGTCCCTTACATTGGGGGTCAGTGGGAAGAATGTCCTTACATTGGGGGTCAGTGGGAAGAATGTCCCTTACATTCAGGGGGTCAGTGGGAAGAATGACCCCTTACATTGGTGGTCAATGGAGAAGAATGCTCCTTACATTGGTGGTCAGTGGGAAGAATGACCCTTACATTGGTGGTCAGTGGGAAGAATGTCCTTACATTGGTGGTCAGAGGGAAGAATGACCCTTACATTGGTGGTCAGTGGGAAGAATGTCCCTTACATTGGTGGTCAGTGGGAAGAATGTCCCTTACATTGGTGGTCAGAGGGAAGAATGTCCTTACATTTAGGTCATGGGAATGAAAGTCCCTTACATTGGTGGTCAGGGAAGGTCCCTTACATTGGTGGTCAGTGGGAAGAATGTCCCTTACATTGGTGGTCAGTAGGGGAAGAATGCTCCTTACATTGGTGGTCAGTGGGAAGAATGCTCCTTACATTGGGGGTCAGTGGGAAGAATGCTCCTTACATTGTTGGTCAGTGGGAAGAATGCTCCTTACATTAGTGATCAGTGGGAGGAATGCTCCTTACATTGGTGATCAGTAGGGGAAGAATGCTCCTTACATTGGTGGTCAGTGGGAAGAATGTCCCTTAGATTGGTGGTCAGTGGGAAGAATGCTCCTTACATTGGTGGTCAGTGGGAAGAAACGCTCCAATACAATGTCAGAAAAATTACTGAAAAATCAGTTTAGTCTCATGCTTTTAACAGCTGGGCTGTGAAAGAGTAAAAAAAAAAAAAGAGGACCTTTGTGTAGTCTTTCCAGCACAGTGTATCCCAGCTGGGACGGGCGCAGCGCACCTTCCCGCTGATTTCCAGGAGGGCCATATAGTCATTCTATTGGTCTAGTTTAGACGATTCAGACTTATTTGCATATTGCCCGCTCTCCCAGCTTCAACAACAGAAACAAAATTGCCATTAAGTTATATTTAGGGATTGAACGGTTCTATCTGAACTATTTATACTGAGGGGAAAGTTGTCGATATACCTTTTGGTAATTTGTGCTGTAAAAAAAATTAAACATTCCATATATTTCAAATTTTTTTTTAAATATTGTCCCTGTAGACAATTGAACTCTGCCCGGAATGCAATTTAGCGACAATGTGACCGGCTTTATAATCTGTCTGGAGGACAGGCCGAGCCGCTTCTGTAGTTGCGAAATGGATTGCTAAATTGGAGTATTTGGGAAAGAAAATGGCGCCACTTGCTGGTCACATCAGTGCATGACAAAGCCCTTTGCTTCATACAAATAGGATGTCATCATTTTCTAGCAAAACCTTCCTCAACCTATGTAGTACAGGAGGACCCTTAAAGTAACTGGAGAGAGATCTAAAATATAGGAAAATTACAAATAAAATAAATACTAACAAAAAAAATGGATCTAGAATGTGACATACTTCACGCATTTCACACCCTGGATGTATTATGTGACATTTACTTTTACTAGTTACTGGATGGACTTTTGTCTTTTTTCAGCCAGACTAACTATGTAACTATGTAGTAAGATAAAACTAATAATAATCATGTCCAGAAAAAAAGCATTGCCCCGTACATTGGGGGTCCATAAATTACTTCCTTACTTTGTTGGTTAGTATAGGAAGGCTCCCTTAGATTGGTGGTCAGTGGAGCAGTACCCCTTCACATTTGGTGGTCAGATGGAAGAATGCTCCTTACATTGTTAATCAGTGAGGAGAATGTCCCCTTACATTGGAGGTCAGAGGGAAGAATGCTCCTTACATTGGGGGTCAGTGGGAAGAATGTCCCTTACATTGGAGGTCAGAGGGAAGAATGTCCCTTACATTTGGTGATCAGTGGGAAGAATGCTCCTTACATTGGTGATCAGTGGGAAGAATGTCCCTTACATTGGTGATCAGTGGGAAGAATGCTCCTTACATTGGGGGTCAGTGGGAAGAATGTTCCTTACATTGGTGATCAGTGGGAGGAATGCCCCTTACATTGGGGGTCAGTGGGGGGGAGAATGCTCCTTACATTGGTGATCAGTGGGAAGAATGCTCCTTACATTGGGGGTCAGTGGGAAGAATGTCCCTTACATTGGTGATCAGTGGGAAGAATGTCCCTTACATTGGTGATCAGTGGGAAGAATGCCCCTTACATTGGTGGTCAGTGGGAAGAATGCCCCTTACATTGGTGGTCAGTGGGAAGAATGCCCCTTACGTTGGGGGTCAGTGGGAAGAATGCTCCTTACATTGGTGATCAGTGGGAAGAATGCTCCTTACATTGGGGGTCAGTGGGAAGAATGTCCCTTACATTGGTGATCAGTGGGAAGAATGTCCCTTACATTGGAGGTCAGTGGGAAGAATGTCCCTTACATTGGGGGTCAGTGGGAAGAATGTCCCTTACATTGGTGATCAGTGGGAAGAATGCTCCTTACATTGGAGGTCAGTGGGAAGAATGCTCCTTACATTGGGGGTCAGTGGGAAGAATGTTCCTTACATTGGTGATCAGTGGGAAGAATGCTCCTTACATTGGGGGTCAGTGGGAAGAATGCTCCTTACATTGGTGGTCAGTGGGAAGAATGCTCCTTACATTGGGGGTCAGTGGGAAGAATGCTCCTTACATTGGGGGTCAGTGGGAAGAATGCTCCTTACATTGGGGGTCAGTGGGAAGAATGCTCCTTACATTGGGGGGTCAGTGGGAAGAATGCTCCTTACATTGGGGGTCAGTGGGAAGAATGCTCCTTACATTGGTGGTCAGTGGGAAGAATGCTCCTTACATGGGGGTCAGTGGGAAGAATGCTCCTTACATTGGGGGTCAGTGGGAAGAATGCCCCTTACATTGGGGGTCAGTGGGAAGAATGCTCTTTACATTGGGGGTCAGTGGGAAGAATGCTCTTTACATTGGGGGTCAGTGGGAAGAATGTCCAACTTATAGACAGCTTAAAAATTAATTGTTGTTATTGGTTACATATTTGAGAGCCAAATATGATCACTGCTCATGGAACCCGTAGCAAGCTCCCAGGAACAGTAGGGTTGCTCAGAGCCCTGGCTGAGTACGGCTGTTCTAGTAAATTGATATCCTGGTTTTCAGTCCATCCCAGGGACAGACAACATTGATGGCAGTGCGCAGACCACTCCAACACTAACCTGATCATTCATAGAATAGTAGCCGTCCATCTTGCTATCTTCATACACTGTTGCTTTATTTTCCCTTTAACTCCACTATTGTTGTTTGTTATATTATATATATATATATATATATATATATTTTGTTTTATTTAATTAGAGGGTATGCCATGGGGCGCCATCACGGGGTGTGTCCCTGCCCCACCCTGGAATCCATCCTCATGACACTCCGTGGAGCACTGTGGTCAGGGGCAATGGTCCAGGGTCATACTTCTAGGGAGGATCCCCCTGTTTTGCTGCCAGTGGAACATTCTCTTTGATTACTTACATGTTTAGTGTCAGACTCCTCCATTTCCCAACACAGGGAGGGGCCATCCCGTGACAAACTAAATACAAGCCATTTTTTTTTTTTTTAAACTTGGAAAAACTTGTTAGAAAAATAATTTCACATTGCTGGAAAATCTGTAAACCCACTCTCCGGAATATATATTTTTTTTCACTTTGTGCGCACAGCGCCAAGGCAGATAATGGCGTGAAAGCGAGCTTCCAATGTTCTGGGGGGAACCAACAAGGATTTTATTATCACCGGCGTAAGAGAAAAAGCCTTTCATTCCTCTTCCCACGTTGGAGTAAACCGCGCCAATGGCTTCGCCAGAACATCTCGGGGTGAAAACGCCGATTTCGATGTCAGTTTTGCGTTCGCTTACATTTTTGTTTACATTACAAATAATATCATTTATTTCCTTTTCTCTCCAAAGGGGGGGGGGGGGGGGGGGGTTGTAGGAAGAGGGGTATTTGGGGGAAATAATGATTTTGCATCATTTGTAATAACAATTGTGCTTTTGTCCAGGCGCTGACATGCGTCATTGAAGGGCGAGTTTGTTTTAGAAACAATTTATGTCTGAAGGCTTTTTGGCAATCCTGATGGATTTTTTTTTTTTTAAAGGTAATACATCTTCAGAAAAAAAAAAAAAAAAGAATGTTACTTTTTACAGATCAAACTTTTTTTTCAGCTGTTATGGAATTTTCCAACTTATCTTCTAAAGTTATCAGTTTTCATGAGTTGGCCTGATACCAAGTAACACTGAAATACTTACAATGAGGTCATCCTTTTCCCGGTGCGTTCGTATACGCATGTTTTTTTCACACATTAATGTGCATTTTTATTAAAGCGGCATTAAAGTGTTACTAAACCCACAACAGTAAAATCAGTCTGTAGATGCAGCAAAGCATGCTTGTTATACTCACTGTGGAACCTAAGGGGTTATTCCTCTGCATTGTGTAAAAACGCTGTTTGATCCTGTCTTCTCTGATCCTCCCCTTCTTCCAGTGTCCCCCCTCTATCTCCTGATAAGACATTATTATTATTATTATACAGGATTTATATATTATATTATTATTATTTATACAGGATTTATATATTATTATTATTATACAGGATTTATATTATTATTATTATACAGGATTTATATATTATTATTATTATTATACAGGATTTATATATTATTATTATTATACAGGATTTATATTATTATATTATACAGGATTTATATATATTATTATTATACAGGATTTATATTATTATTATTATACAGGATTTATATATTATTATTATTTACAGGATTTATATATTATTATTATACAGGATTTATATATTATTATTATTATACAGGATTTATATATTATTATTATACAGGATTTATATTATTATTATTATACAGGATTTATATATTATTATTATTATTATACAGGATTTATATATTATTATTATTTATTATACAGGATTTTATATTATTATTATACAGGATTTATATATTATTATTATTATACAGGATTTATATATTATTATTATACAGGATTTATATATTATTATTATACAGGATTTATATGGTGCCAACCGTTTGCTCAGCGCTTTACAATATAAGGGAGACAGTACAATTACATTACATTTCAGTACAGAAGGAATAGGAGGGCCCGGCTCCTGGAGATTACAATCTAAAGGAAGGGGGAGGTGATACAAAAGGTGATAGCTGCGGGGGATGATCTGGTGGAGGTGATTCAAGTACAGTTCTTAGGTGGAGGTGGGGTAGGCTTCCCTTTAGAGTGAGTTTTCAAGGTGGAGTCACTGTGTCATGTGGAGTCACTCTGCACATGCTCAGTTTGTTGTGTATTGCTAGAGAGTTTTTTTTTTTTTGGGAGAGTGCATGTGATCAGCACAGAATCCAATCAGCACTGTCCAGACAGAGGTCACGGGTTCTGCACCCTCCTAGAGCAGAATGAAAACTCCTCCTACAAACTGTAACCAGTGCTCTGCTGGACACTGATAGAAGTCACAAGACTGCTCTATACTGCTGATGAGAAAATGTATTTAGCAGTTTATAGTTAATAAAATAATTGCATTTCCATGTTGTGTGTACTGTGGGAGAGCGGATATAGTGAATGCAGGGTCCGGGGGAGAGCGGATATAATGAATGCAGGGTCCGGGGAGAGCGGATATAATGAATGCAGGGTCCGGGGAGAGCGGATATAATGAATGCAGGGTCCGGGGAGAGCGGATATGATGAATGCAGGGTCCGGGGAGAGCGGATATAATGAATGCGGGGTCCGGAGAGACCGGATATAGTGAATGCAGGGTCTGGGGAGAGCAGATATAGTGAATGCAGGGTCCGGGGAGAGCGGATATAGTGAATGCGGGGTCCGGGGAGACCAGATATAGTGAATGCAGGGTCCGGGGAGACCAGATATAGTGAATGCAGGGTCCGGGGAGAGCGGATATAGTGAATGCAGGGTCCGGGGAGACCAGATATAGTGAATGCAGGGTCCGGGGAGAGCGGATATAGTGAATGCAGGGTCCGGGGAGACCAGATATATAGTGAATGCAGGGTCCGGGGAGAGCGGATATAGTGAATGCAGGGTCCGGGGAGAGCGGATATAGTGAATGCAGGGTCCGGGGAGAGCGGATATAGTGAATGCAGGGTCCGGGGAGAGCGGATATAGTGAATGCAGGGTCCGGGGAGAGCGGATATAGTGAATGCAGGGTCCGGGGGAGAGCGGATATAGTGAATGCAGGGTCCGAGGAGACCACCGGATGTAGTGAATGCAGGGTCCGGGGGAGAGCGGATATAGTGAATGCAGGGTCCGGGGAGAGCGGATATAGTGAATGCAGGGTCTGGGGAGACCAGATATATAGTGAATGCGGATCCGGGGAGACCAGATATAGTGAATGCAGGGTCCGAGGAGACCAGATATAGTAAATGCAGGGTCCGGGGAGAGCGGATATAGTGAATGCAGGGTCCGGGGAGAGCGGATATAGTGAATGCAGGGTCCGGGAGAGAGCGGATATAGTGAATGCAGGGTCCGGGGAGAGCGGATATAGTGAATGCAGGGTCCGGGGAGACCGGATATAGTGAATGCAGGGTCCGGGGAGAGCGGATATAGTGAATGCGGGGTCCGGGGAGAGCGGATATAGTGAATGCAGGGTGCGGGGAGACCAGATATATAGGGAATATAGGGAATGCGGGGTCCAGGGAAATCAGATATAGTGAATGCGGGATCTGGGGAGACCAGATATAGTGAATGCAGGGTCCAGATATAGTGAATGCAGGGTCCTTTGAGAGCAGATATAGTGAATGCAAGGTCCAGGGAGAGCAGATATAGTGAATGCAGGGTCCTGGGAGAGCGGATATAGTGAATGCAGGGTCCAGGGTTTAGTAACAATTTAAACCCAACACTATAAATGTCATATATTGCAGCTTACCAATCCTTAGATGTGGTGGGCTGCATTAGTTTTTTCTGTTTTTGCCCTCTGTTTTCACCTGATGATCTGGCCAGTAGCACACCTCCTGTATTAGTGCACCCTCCACTCTGGGTGGAGGAGAGAGCAAGGTGAAAGAGAGACAAGCTCATCACTATGCTTCTTCTCCTTTCCCGCCCAGTCACAAGCCCAGTCACAAGGGGTAGGTCCAGGATGACCTGGGCTCCGAAAAAGTGGGTTGAATAATGCTGACCATCAGACTGAAGACATTCAGCAGCAGAAAAAAAAGTACTGTGAGGAAAATCTCTGGAATGAAAGTGAATATTGCAGCAAATGCT